TTCTATACCCGCTTCGAGATCAACGACGTCACCGGCAGCTCGCTCACTGATCACGACATGACCCAGCTGCACTACAAGAAGATCACCTCGCTTCAGCGGGCGGTCTTTGCCAAGTTTCCCAGTCTGCGGGTCTTTGCTCTGTCCAACGTGGCCACAGTGGATAACCGGGAGTCGCTGGAGCAGCACTTCGGTGGATTGGATGGCAAGGGACTTTTGCAGATTGCCACTTTCTTGAATCTGGTTCCCGAGGAGGTGGCGGCACCCTTAGACTGGCACCGTGTGGACGAGCAGTTTCTACGTGAGTTGCTGATTACACGCCACGAGCGACGCTGCTCGCAGTTGGAGGCACTAAATGAGATGCCCCTGTATCCCACTGAGCAGATCATCTGGGATGAGAACGTGGTGCCCTCGGAGTATTATTCCGGTGACAGCTGTCTTGCTCTGCCCAAGCTTAATCTGCAGTTCCTGACACTCCACGACTATCTGCTGCGAAACTTTAACCTCTTCCGTTTGGAATCCACCTATGAGATCCGGCAGGACATTGAGGATGCCGTGAGCCGCATGTTGCCCTGGCAGTCGGAAGATGGCGATGTGGTCTTCGGAGGCTGGGCACGAATGGCTTTACCCATTGCCAGCTTTGCTGTGGTCGAAGTGGCCAAACCGCATCTCGGCGAAAAGAAGCCCTCGAGGGTGCGTGCAGATGTGGGAGTAACCCTCTCCGTGCGGCGAGAGATCAAGGCGGAGTGGGAAAACCTTCGGAAGCACGATGTCTGCTTCCTGATAACCGTGAAGCCAACGCAACCATATGGCACAAAGTATAAGCACCGGGAGCCATTCATTCCCCAGGTGGGTTTGGTCAGTGTCCGCGGCTGCGAGGTGGAGGGCATGCTAGATGCCAATGGACGGGTCATAGAAGATGGACCGGAACCAAGGCCACAACTGCCAGGTGAGCAGCGTTGCTATCGCGTCTGGCTGGACTCGAATCAGTACCGCCAGGATATGGACGATCTTCAGGAGGTAAGTCTCTCAGGTATTCCGTACCAATTTCCAATTAATCACTTTTTAATTTAGGGCGCCGACGATGTCTACGAGAGTTTCAACATTCTGATGCGCCGCAAGCCCAAAGAGAATAACTTCAAGGCTGTGCTGGAGACCATTCGCCACTTAATGAACACAGAATGCGTGGTTCCGCCTTGGCTGCACGACATCCTGCTGGGTTATGGTGACCCTGGGGCCGCCCACTACAGTAATATGTCCAATCAAGAACGCAGTCTGGAGTTCAACGACACCTTCTTGGACTACAAACATCTGGAGGCCAGTTTTCCCAACTATAAGTTGAAGTGTGAAGTGCCGGAGGAAAAGCGACAACCGCCCTATCGACTAATATTTGAGGATGTGCCTATTCACAAGGACAGCGATGAAGAGGAGGGTGAAGAGAAGGTTAAGGAGGAATTAACCAAGACTATTTCAGTGCAGCCGTACAAATATGAGGCAAGGGGACCATATCCAAGCGATAAACCCAAGCAGTGAGTATAGGAATCAATGACTTAGTTAAATTTATAACAATTTAAAAGTTGTCCCATCTATAAACTTTAATATAGATCCAAAATACTGATAAATTCCCTTGATATTTCGTTTTAGAAACTCCATCCGTTTTACGCCCACTCAAGTGGAAGCCATTCGTGCGGGAATGCAGCCGGGTTTGACACTTGTGGTCGGTCCCCCTGGAACCGGTAAGACTGACGTGGCCGTGCAAATCATATCGAATATCTATCACAACCACCCCAGTCAGCGAACCCTGATTGTCACCCACTCCAATCAGGCGCTTAACCAATTGTTCGAAAAGATCATGGCCTTGGATATCGATGAGCGGCATTTGCTTCGTCTTGGTCACGGCGAGGAGGCTCTGGAAACCGAGAAGGACTACAGTCGCTATGGTAGAGTCAACTATGTATTGGCCAAGCGAGTGGATCTGCTTAGCCAGGTGCAGAAGTTGCAGGAGTCGCTTGGTGTCAGTGGTGACAATGCGTATACCTGTGAAACCGCTGGCTACTTTTACCTGTACAATGTGATGGCACGATGGGAGAAGTTCCAGAGTCAGATGAGCGTGAATAGGGAGGAGACCGACGTGGATAAGCTGAGAGCCGTGTTTGAGAAGGACTTTCCCTTTAGCAAATTCTTCGCGGATGCTCCGCAGCCCTTGTTTAAGGGTGCGAATTATGAGGAGCTGATGGACGCAGCCTGCTCCAATTTCCGATACATCTCGGACATTTTCAACGAACTAGAGGAGTTCCGTGCCTTCGAACTGCTGCGCACGGGTCTAGATCGATCAAAATATTTACTCGTTAAAGAGGCAAAGATCATTGCCATGACTTGTACACATGCGGCTCTAAAACGTAAAGAGCTTGTTAACCTTGGCTTCCGATATGATAACATTCTTATGGAAGAATCTGCGCAGATCCTGGAGATCGAAACTTTCATTCCGCTGCTACTACAGAATCCGCTGGATGGACTGAATCGTCTAAAACGATGGATTATGATCGGGGATCATCATCAGCTGCCGCCCGTGATTAAGAATATGGCCTTCCAAAAGTACTCCAACATGGAGCAGAGTCTGTTCACCAGGTTGGTGCGTCTCGGTGTGCCCACTGTAGATCTGGATGGGCAGGGTCGTGCTCGGGCCAGCATCTGCTCGCTGTACAAGTGGCGCTACAAGAAGCTGGAGGACCTGCAGCACATCTTCGAGCGGGATGAGTACAAAAAGGCCAATCCGGGATTCGCGCATGACTATCAGCTCATCAATGTAGAGGACTTCAAGGGAGTGGGCGAAAGCGAGCCCAATCCCTACTTTTATCAGGTAAGAAACGATATTTTTACTACTTTAAGCTCCAGTAAGTTCCCAATCTAATCAGCTTCTTTTCCAAACAGAATCTGGCTGAGGCCGAGTATATTGTAGCCGTCTACACGTACATGCGTTTGATGGGCTATCCCGCGGCCAAAATCTCTATATTGACCACTTACAACGGTCAGAAGCATCTCATCCGCGACGTGATCAACGCCCGCTGTGGTAACAATCCGCTCATCGGTTGGCCGCACAAGATCACCACCGTGGATAAGTACCAGGGCCAGCAGAACGACTACATTCTCATCTCTTTAGTGCGCACCAAGGTGGTGGGACATCTGCGGGATGTGCGACGTCTGGTGGTGGCCATGAGTCGTGCGCGGCTTGGTCTATATGTGTTTGGCAGGGTCTCCCTGTTTAAAAACTGTTTGGAACTTCAGCAAACCTTCAAACTGGTAAGTTAATATACACTTCTTACATTTCAGGAGTTTTAAATTAGTCTTCTTGCAGCTTACACAGCGACCTTTGAAGCTTAGTTTGGTGTCCGATGATAAATATCCCACGGATCGTTTGGCCAATGCTGAGGTGGCCAGGGATGCTATCAAAGTGGTAGAAAACATGTCCGAAATGGCACAGTTTGTCTATGAAAGGTACATGGCCAAAATGGAGGAACTCAAGGGCACCCTGCCCACTGAAGAGGAGTTGCAAGCTATGCGCAACCAGTTGCCCCAGGAAGACGAGGATAATGTTCCAGAGGAAGCTTCGGAGGAGCCACCGGAAAAACGAGTGGCTAAGGAAGCGCCATTATCTAAGAAAAAGACAGCAGAAGCCTTCAAGCCCACACCCATTCTGAACGAGATAAGTGTGGACGAAGTGGAAATGGATCAAAAGGAAGAGGTGGAAAAGGAAACCACCGAGGAGCCAACCCAGGTATCCACTTCTGCTGAGGAGTCTTAGTTACTATTAAGTTGCTCAAATAATTTAATTTTAATAAGTCCAACAAAGTTTTAAAGTGACAAATGCAAAACGCATAGACCACACCCCATAATACCAGTCTACTTCTTGGGTGCGGTTATGCCCTCCAGCTGAGCCTTCAACTGGGCGTTGGTCTTCTTCAAGAACGTAATCTCCTCGGTGAATTTCTTCTCCTCGGAGGCCCTCAGCTCGGCATTGCGCCGTTCGGCCTGCTCCTGCTTGAGCTTCATGTCTGCGATGATCTCCTCGAGTGCCTCTTTGTCCAGTTCAAGAGTCTTGACGCGATCGCGGAGCATTTCCTTTTCCTCGTGTGCCTGTAATGCTTTGCGCATGCCGAAGGCCACGGAGCTGCAGTATAGTGTCTCATAGGCCTCCATTGACATAGCGATTTCATCCCGGATTCGCAGGAGCAGAAGGCCGCGCTCCGAGCAGTTTATCGTCACCTGGCGAATGATCTCGTCTGCGGGGTTAAGTGTAAGTAGGAGCTGGAAATGGAAAACTTATTCACTTACCAAAACACTGGGAGTAGAGCTCGCGGCGCACGGGACAGATGCCCGTTTCGCGGGCCTGGGTCTGCTGCAGCCTAGTGTCCAGCATCTCCTGCAAATTGATCACATCTTGTCGTGTAGCTGGAGTACTGGACACGGACTGCTGCCACAGCTGGCCATCCTCCTCCCAGCAGCGCGGTGGCAGAATGGAGTTCAGTATCTCCTCGGTTTCCCTCTTGGAATCTAGCAAAGCGCCCGCCGTTTGGGGCCTCTTCATCTCAATCTCCGTCAGCGGAGCGCCCCCCTTCTTGTCCGGGTGCTTCACCACCAGCACCGGATTGTTGTAGCGCACCAGGGTCTGGAACTGACCCACGCTGGTTATATCTAGCTCCTCCATTTCGACGGTATTTGTTTCAATTTAAAACTCAAAAAATATATTTAATATAAACTTGTGTGTGCCTCGGGAATTCGACAGCTTTTCCCGTCGATTTTGTTGATTGGAAAATCAGAAATGCCTGTGCTGGGAAAAAATACCCAAGGGTGCGAGTTTGTTTTTATTCCTTCACCAGCTAGCAACCTTCCGGTCCTCGGCAACGCCTTAAATAGTGATTTATTTATGTGCCTGGTTGCAAATATCAACAGGTGGAAAATGGAAAACCCAGCTTTATAAAGTGCCAGAATAATAAAACTTCAAATTACTTATTTGTATAATATGTTTAATGTAAATGCAAACATAAATGAGTTTCTGGCTCTGTCCGTGAGGAATCGAACAGCGGTCAAAAGTAACTTAGTTCGTTGCACATTTCCAATTCTCTCCAACTTAAAATCTGAACTTATGAGTATGAGCAAGTTTGGCTAATTAAACTAGGATCTAGATAACTAAATGTTAGCGACACAACTAAACGTAGTACGGAATTGGAAGAGCAAATAATTTAGTCTTTTTAGTGGTACAACTTAGGCTGTAGACGCATTTGGAACGCCATTAAAACTAATATCGCGGAAGTATTCGTGTGGACTGAATTGTGTAGATGCAGATGTAGGATGTACATTAGTAACTCTTACATATTCATATCGTTTCATTACGGCTAGACATTGTCAATATATAATAGTACATATATATTATTGTCATTATTTATGCGGGAGAATTTCCTCTATGGGTTCTTGTAGTTCTGCTTCTGTTTCTGTTTCTGCACCTGGCTCTCTATCCTGGTTACTTGAGTTCTAGATATAACGCTGGCTTACCAGATACAACTACGCTATGTATATATGTATTTATATGTGCTATGTACGTGTCTAGAATATTGTTGGTGTAAACGCAACGGCGAACTCAAAGATGCAACAGAACAGATTCGGTTTGAACTAAACCACGGCAAGGGCTTGTCAACTACACAGATACACAGCTACTACATAATTTACACATCTTTTTGGGCAGCAGCTCCCATCGAGGCTTAGATCAGCTCGGCCACGGCATCGTCGCCATCCCGGATGGGTGCCTGGAAAGTGGATCCTGTGAACTCGTACAGCTGAATGGGGTAGAAAACTTAACATTAGATCTCTCGTTCATGATTTGGCTTTTCAGTTTCTTACCGATGGCGCCCGATTGTTCCGCAACGTGGCGTAGTCCGCAAACTCATTCATGTGCGGATCGACGCGGGCCAGCAGCAAGCCAGCACCACCCACTCCACCGGCGCTGGCGCCACCACCACTGCGCATCGAACCACCACCGGCACCACCGCCGCCAGTGAGGCGATTTTGATTATTACGCGGCTGAATGGTGGCATAGGTGTTGTCCACCGACTGACCCACATGGTGGACCTGCTCAAGTGAGCTTCGATGCTCCAGGTGGCCCGGCGCCTCGGAGTTTGAGATGTGATCGGGCTCCGAGAAGACCTGCATGGTCAGCTCTTGTTCCTCATAAAGTTTCAGTTTTCTAAAGGGAGGAAGTAGAACAAAAAGTTAAAAATATATCCCAATCCACTTCGTATAGACACTTACTGCTCTATCCATAGCGGATTTTCGGTAGTATTCAGGTCCTCGATAATCTGTTTCTTAATCAGGGCCTCCTTACGACGCGTCTCCACAGGCACAGATAGATTCCAGTGCTTCAGGCAGCAGCACAAGACAATGAAACTAATAACGCCTACGAAAAGGACAATAACTAGAGCCACCAGTCCAGCCACTGCCAGGTCAAACTCATCTTGCACAATAGCTATGTAGGCGGGCACAACATTTTCTATGGCAAAGCCAGCATAGTAATCCTAAAAATCCAAAAATATTACTTCAAAAAAGATCAAAAGATTGGAGTTCAAATAAGCCACCTTCAGATAATCGTAGTTCCTGTCGATATCCTTGAGAATCTCATCGACGGGTGCAATCTGCTGGGTCTGAGGGTCCACGGCATGGAAGTACAGGTCACACCAGTCCATGCGAATGCGGCCAATTGAGTCCAAATGGAATCGTATCTCGTCGACGATGATGCGATGTTGGGTGGCATTACGTAACTCGGCAATAATCTCTTCCTGCTCCTGGTAAACCTCTTCCGGCGGACGCGACAGGATTACACGCACCAGTTGGGTGCCATCAAAGACCCAGATCTGTATGAAAATAATTTATTAATAATGCATATTTGGATAAGCAGATGATATTCCCATCACTCACATTAACTTTGGTGCTGGCTGATCGTTGGGGCTGCTCCAATTCCCTGGCCACAATCTCCAGTTCGAAACGATCCTGGTTGTACTCGGCCATAATGGTGTTTGCAGAGATGCGACCATCCTGCGAAATGGCAAATGGACTGGGAACAATAGAACCTGTCGCCTTGGTTGCCCCAAACTTGTACAAATTCGAAGCGACGATCATAAACTCAATCTTGGCATTCTTTCCCTGATCCGCATCGGTGGCATTAACTAGGGTTATGGCTGCGCCCATCTTGGCATTGGCATTTACTCCGGCATAGTAGATGGATTTCTCAAACACGGGAGGATTATCGTTCACATCCAGCACGGTGATGGCTACCTTTGCGACTGTGTTATCCCGATTTAGAGTCTTTATCGAGAAAGCGGCGCGTTCCTCTTCGGAGATATGCAGATCCGCTTTGATGCTGGCCAGGATGTATAAAGTGTACACATCCGTTTCCTCGCGATCCAGGCTCTTGTTGGTGTAAATATCACCCGTCAGTTTGTCCACATAGAAGGCGCCATCCTCATTGCCCAGCAGCATGTAGTAGAAGATGTCTCGGTTGTGCTTGCTCCTGGAGGCGGCTTGAATATGTCCGATTTTCACATCCCGACCACTATTCTCGTTGATTGATACCTTATAGGGATTAGAGGCATCTGGGAACTCTGGACGATTTTCGTTGGCATCCACGATACTAACGCTGAGAAGACGTAGCGATTCAAATGGAGGATTACCTGCATCACGGGCCACCAGGATAATGTCGTAGCTAAAGGAAGATGTACAAATTACATAAGGTTCTTCGTCAAATTTGGGGCGACTTACTTGGCTCGATTCTTGCGATTCAGCTGCGTCCTGGCTCTTAACTCTCCTGTCACCTCGTCGATCTTAAACTCCCCAGTTTGCTGCTCATTCCTGTTGTTCACCTGCAGGTGGTAACTGATCTTGCCGTTCTCCTCCGTATCATTATCCATTGCCCTAACGGTGAGCAGTAGGTAATCTGGCTGGACAATATCACCGGGTATTTCAATGGTGGCGTTGGAAAGTGCGGGTATAACAAACTCCGGCTTGTGGCGATTAACCCTTAACACTGTGATAATCGCTTTAGCTGTGCTCTCCATAGTGCCCGATCCCTGGGTATCACGTGCCGAGATGGTTAGCTCGTAGGCTCCATGTTTCCCGGACAAACTCTGCGCGGGATACACAATACCCGACTGAGCATCCAGCTTGAAGAGGGCCATTTCGTTGCCAGACGTGATGATATAGCGTACATCGCCATAGAGACCCTCATCCTGGTCGATGGCTTGTACTTGAAGCAAGGCGGCAGGTGGCTGATAGGCAGCATTTTCCGCCACAGTTGAGTTATAGACATCTCGCGTGAAAACAGGAGCATTATCATTAACATCCAGAATGTTGATGTGGATCTAAAGATTATAGAATTTGTTTAAAAATATTATTAAAATTACATATATTATATATATTATATTATAAGTTATTTTACTCACCGTAGCCGTGGCTGACTTTTGTACTGCAGCAGGAGCCTTATCCTGGGCCACCACCGACAAGGTAAGCTCCTTGATCTGCTCCCGATCGAGAATAGAGGAATTGGCCACCATAACGTTGCCCGTGTAAGCATCGATGCTAAAGTACTTGTTGTTCTCCCCAATCAGGGTGTAGGTAATCTCGCCAAAGACGCCCACATCTCCATCTTGGGCCTCCACTCTTCCTGCCACCGTGCCTCGCGGTGAATTTTCAGTGACATTGAAGTAATAATCGGTCTGAGAGAACTTGGGATCATTATCATTCAAGTTGATAATGTCCACCACCACATCAGCGGTGGATGTCAGGGCGGGCACACCCGTATCACTGACGGTGGCTTGGAACTTGACCTCCTTAACTGCTTCGTAATCCAGTCGAGCAATGGTGTAGATCACTCCGCTGGTCTGGTTAATGGCAAAGTAGTCGTTGGCACTAATGTTATATTCCCCTATGCTAGAATCCTCATCGGTGGCCTGAAGAGTGGTCAGTACGGTGCCCACAGGCTGCTCCTCAACCATCTGCAGCTTGATTTGCGGCTGCTCCACACTCCATGGTGCATTAAAGCGCTGTAAAAAATGATTTGTTTATATTTGTATCTTTGAAAACAGAGTCAAAATTATGTGGTAAAATTGTAAGCAGAATTTCCAGCTTTTTCATCTATCTCCACTCATGGAAGGAATGTTCAATGAGCTCCCTTATACCAAGCTTAAGCTGCTATTCATCAATATATTTGCCATACTACACAGTGCCACTTATTTGAATGTATATCGCTTATATGCCGATTTGAGAAATGTTAAAGTTGGCGTAGATGGCTCTGGTGAAGAGATATGGATCAGGGAGATCTTCACATTCCTCATCAGTGGTCTCATAGTAGTCCGCTTTTCCCTATGTTTCGTTGGTTTGGCTTCAAACATTGTGGCCATGTGAGTGACTCCAATAAAGGGTAACTTTTATTTTACAATTCAAGTTCTATTTTAGATACCCTATTTTAACCAATTCCCAGGCTGAGATGCTCATGCCCACCATCATAGTGCAGGCCATAGACAATGTCATCCTAAATCTCTATGAAATCATTTTGGGCTACGGCAGTTTGTGCTATCTGTATCCGGAAAGTACGGCTGTTTTTATCTTTTTTATTCTTAAGATGGGAATAAAGATCGCCTGCAGCATCTCTGTGCTGTACGTATAGCTAAACATTATTAAGCAGACATCTTTACATTACCTATTTTCATTTCAGGAATATTTATTCTGATCACCACACTCACTTAGCCACTCTAGTTTCTTTTAAAGAGGATTTAAACAGCTTAGGACCAGACAGTGTGGATGAAATTGAATTGGCCAACCAAAATTTTGATGCTACCTAGCTATACCATAATATAAATTATCAAAAAATGATCCTAAGACTCTTTCCGAATTTCTATATTTCCAAAATATAGTCTTTTAATATTTTACTCACCGGTGGAATCTTGTTGACATCAATGATCTGTATGATTAGCAATCCTCGACCCTAAAAAGTTATACATTATGATCAGAATTACAAATTCTTCTTTAATATTTGAAATCCCCACCTGCTGGACATTGGGAGCTGTGCTGTCCGTGACCAAAACATTGATCCTCATCACGGCAAACAGATTGCGATCCAACTGCTTGTTGACCGAAACCCTTCCGTCCCTGGCGATCTTAAAGTACTCCTTGAACTGATCATAATGCGGCAGTTCCTTGCCCTCCTTATCGATGGCGGTGATATCATCAGTTCCAGCGAACTCCAGAGCATTATGACTGGCCACATCGGGATCGAGGGCGATTAAAGTGTACACCAGTTGACCGGGAGGAGCATCCGCTCGTACTTCAGCGTGCTGGGTGGCCGGCACAAAGTACGGATCTTTGTCATTGCTGTTCTGAACATTTATGGTCAGCGTGGCGGTGCCCGTGAGACTGGGCGTTCCCAGATCGGAGGCCTGGACCTGCAGCAGATAGGTGTTGCGCCGATCAAAGTCCAGTTTCCGGGAGACGAACACCTCGCCGGTGCGCTCGTCGATGCCAAAGTCATCGAAGCTACCTTGTTGAATGCGGTATCTTAGCTCGGCATTCTTGCCCGTATCCAAATCTGTGGCATGCACCCGCTCTACGCTCGTTCCAATCTCCGAGTTCTCCTCGACGACGGCACTGTAGCTCTGCTGCTCGAATTTGGGCACATGGTTATTTACATCCCGCACGGTGATATTCACTCCACAGTGGGCCGAGAAGAGACCATCGTTGGCCTCCACAGCGAAGATAAGCTGATCGCTGTTCAAATTGGTCACATCCAGAGTGGCATTTGGCCTGATGCTAATCTGACCGGTCTCGCGATCAATGTCAAAGATGGCCTCTACCTGTTCGGATCCACGGATTCTGTAGCTGATTCTGGACATGGTGTCCGCATCCCGTGCCTTGACAATCAGCGGGGAATCAAAGACCACGGCACCCTCATCCACACTCGCCCTGTACAGGGGACTTTCGCAAACGGGTGGAGAATCATTGGCATCCGTCACAGAAATCCGGAGGGAAACCACAGAGGCGGAACCACGCCCATTGTCATCGGTGGCCTGTAAAGAAAGTGGGAAAATTTAGCATAACATACATTTAAAACTTTCCAATATATATAAAATCCTACTGTTTAAAAAATTCATTATAAAATTCGCTAATAACTTAACATTATGCTTATCAGATTGGTATCACAATAAATGATTAAATGCCTAAAGTATATTTATGCAAATTAATTATTATAAATGTCCTTCAGTTGTCAATAAATCGCACAATTCTCTAAAAAGGATTATAAATAATAATTGTTTACGCTATTAATTTATTCAGCAAGTTATCATAATTGTTTGCTCAACAAAATGCACAACATAATGTAAATATAAACGTTTTTAAATGCGGGCTAAACTTAACAAGTGTTATAATAAAAACTGATTTATACAAACCACTAAATAATTAACAGCTTTAAATTAATTATTAAGTACTAAAAAGTGTAATAACACTACATTGTATTTTTTCTGCCCGGTGAATTTTTTTTAAATTCTTATAATCAGTATTAAGGTGTTGTGTGACGTGATATTACAGAACCGCAGTCCTGAATTTTAATCCTCTCTCGTTATTTATGTTCTACATGTTAGAGGAAGATCTGCCTACACGAAACACATCCCACATGATTCCCCCTACCAAGTTACGCACATAAAAACCTTGCCACCCACTCGCACACGAAGATTGAGACAGTCACTCACCTTGTATGACAAGAAGTACGTGGTCACCGATTCGTAGTCCAGACACGTCTGCGGTGCCTTGTCGTCATTAGCAGTCGCTGCGGGAACTCCAGATGGAGATGGAGCTGCGTGTGGAACCGGAGCGGATAGTGGATCCGACGATGACGATGACGACACCTCTGGCTCCTCTGGCGCCTGGGTGATTAACGTGTACTGGACGGTGGGCTCGGTGCCAATCTCCCTGGGAGCCGCCTCCATGGAAAGCATTTCCAGATGGCCCTCGCCATCGCCATTAGCCTCCTCCTCGTTCTCATCCTCGTGCAGATCACGTCGCTCGCGCCGGTTGCCCTCCCCTTCGCCATGGCAGTTGGCCAGGCTAATAACACCTGTCCGCTCGTTGACATGGAAGAGTTCGGCTCCGGTTCCGGATAGGCTGTAGCGAATGCCGGAGTCACCATAGCTTCCGGAATCCACATCCCTGGCCGTAATGGTGGCTATGTACTGACCCGGCAGAGCCGCCTCCGAAACGGATGCCGAGTAGCTCTCCTGCTCGAAAACGGGTTTGTTGTCGTTGGCATCAAGAACGCTTACCGTAATCGTTGCCGTGGATGAGAGCTTAGGATTGGTGTCTGTCTCCTCGGCCACCACCAGTACGATAAACTTCCTCTGATTGGGATTTTCGTAGTCCAAGGTGCCGTTCGCCACGCGAATGTTCACCTGCGAGTAGCCGGTGACCAGTTTGGGCTCCACATCGAATACCCCGGATACGTCGTCTAGCCGCAGGGCAAACTTTGAATTGATGCCCACATCAGCATCACTGACACTCATGTCCAGAGCGAGGGGTGTGCCTGGGGGTGTGTTCTCCAAGAGGGACACCGAGTACTCCTTGTGATTGAACACAGGCGGAGAATCGTTTACATCCCTTATGGTCACCGTTGCCTTGGCCGTGGCACTCGTCAGGGGATCATCGCTGGGCACTCCATTAACCAGCTCCCTGGCACGGATCACAAGCGAAATAATGCCCGTGGAATCCTCCAGAGCTTCTCGATCCAAGGGTTTGGCGGTGCGCAGCTCTCCAGACTGGGCATCCAGCAGGAAATAGTCATTGGGATCTAGTAAGGGGAGTACATATATTTTTTAGTTAATCGATACTTATAAGACTTGATTTATTACTTACTTGTCTTCAGATCATAGACAATTTTCCTGGGTTCTCCAGTGTCACCATCCCTGGCATGGACAGTGAGAACCAAGGTGTTAATGGGACTGTCCTCATCAATAACTGTCGAGAGGGAGCCCTGAAATACGGGCGGTTTGTCCTGCACATCCTTCACCCTCGCCTCGAAAGTGGTTTGGGTCTTGTGCGGCCCATCGGTGGCTTCGATCTGGAAGTGATACACCATCCGTTGGTTGTAATTCAGGGTATCATTGAGCACAACTGCTGCCTCCAGAATGGTGGCCTCTCGCTTGGTCACATGCAGGCGGAATCTAGTTGGGAATTCAAAACATAAGTTGCCTTTCTAAGAGATTATACGAGAGCTACTCACTTGCTGCAGGCCTCTGGACTTTGCTGCTGTGGTAGGCATTTTAAATCGAGACTATCGCCAGCTATATCCCTATCCTTAACAAGAATCTTATCAAAGATAGTGGTTCCCACCGCAGCATCTTCGTTTACATCGGCTTCATAGGGAGTCTGCAGAAGAATAAGTAAATATAATAATAAACAATGTGTGGGATGGAGTAAATATAGGATTTAAATTCATTTCTGATAAGTGATAATGTTGTATACTTACATTTTGAAACTCCGGAGGATTGTCGTTCAGATCGAGAATGATAAAAGTGATCGGCACCTCGACCACATTATCCCGCTCCGATTCTCCTTCGGGATCTACACGATCCCTTATCGAAACCAGGAACTTCAAGGTATCCTTCTCCTCGCGATCCAGTGGTTTTATCAGCGTTATGTTTCCAGATACCGGATCCACGCTAAAGTGATCAGCGCCTATGGCACCGTAGGTCACAGGACTTCCCTCAGGATCGTAGGCTTCCAGTCGGAAAACTACTGTACCAACAGTCACATTCTCGTAAAGGATAATATTATTCAGGGTCTGCGTGAATACGGGTGGCAAATTCGTCTCTCCTGGTTGGGGAAAAGATTTAAAAATTTTATTGGATTTTCTTTAAAGGAATTCCTTTTGATTTCTTTGCGTTTTACTCACCCTTGGTCAGGCTCAGGCCCAGACAGATCAACAAAAGCCCCAAAGGGAGCTTCATTTTGGTGTCTGCAAAGAAAAAGCAAAATAAACTAAGTGTTTGTTTACTTTGAGTTTCGCCAAAAATGTAAGCCAATAAGCTTAAACCAAACAGATTTGCGAGACAAATCGGAGACTTTCGAACAGCAAAATATCATAGGAAGTCGAAGATTTGAATGCTCTTAGCAGGGGTATTACATTATTAAATTGTATGTTCCTTAACCTCAATAAAAACTTATTTCTTTCCAAGTAAAAATATTGCTTTAACAGGGGGTTAAAAAAGTCCTGCTTCTTAGAACGAATTTTATAAAATTTTACATTACATTCAAACACCTATGAACACCCCTCAGAGTATATTAAAAACCTGTTATCATAACTTTAGGGTGTTGTACATTGTTATTTGATTTTTTTCGGCTTTGTGCTCGTTTTTGTTTTTTCCCCATTTGATGGCATAAACAAACAATAAAGATAAATTAAATTTCATTTCGTGCTGAAAATTCAATTAGCTGACAATGCACACAGGCCAGTGAGAGCGTGACAACGATGATGCGGATGATGGTGGTGGTGGTGTTGGTGGGGCTACTGATGATGATGGCTATAACAACATAACGTTGTTGATGACAAGCAGCAACAGGACCAACAACAACAGCAAAAAGAGGCAACAAGCAACATTGTGGCAAATTGTGCACTTTAACTGCGGGCTGGCGGGGGTGTTGTGGGGTTGGGTTTCCGAGGGGGGGAATCGCCGAAGGCGCCAACATTCCTGTTGCGTCCGTCCAATTGTCCGGCACGCACCACTTAACCGAGAACCAGCATTGTGAGCCCGTGGACCAGAGGCGCACATATCTGGTAACCAGCAGACGGACCATCCAGGCGATGACCACACAAACGGGCGAAGGAGCAGGGTTACACTTGGGGAAAAAAAGGGTTCTTATAACCAATTTGGGTAATTTACAAAATATGAGAAAGTAAGTAATATAAAAAGGACGATTTCTTCAAAAACGTTTGGTGTAAGAGCTTTTTAGGGCCCTATGACAATGCTTTATTGTTAACAAACTGGAATTAGAATAACATAAATATTGTTAAGCTAAGGACTGTTTTTCTTTAGATTGCGAAGACTTTTTTAAACAAATCTAGTCAGTTTGTGAAAATTAAATCAAGTATCAAGGTCCTTTAACCCTAAAATCCTATGCTAATCCTATGTTAAGTCTAAATTTGATTTTATTTGGCTTTTAATAGTCGATTTCATAATGAAATATAGCTTTCAAATTCGCTTTTAAAATATTTAAAAGAATGTTTTTGAATAAAATCTCAAGTTCTTTTCCAACTGCATTCTCTAAACTTTTCTGCCAGTGCATAAGCTGGAGCAGCAGCAAACACGAGCGAGAACCAAAACCAGGCAGAGCCAATTAGTTATGCATAAAAGCTCGACTAAATATTTTCAGTTTGGACCATGTTTTGTGTGGGTTTATTTGCTTACAACACTGGCCAAGAGCCTAAATGGGCAGCACGAGCACAAGCCCAAACACAAGCACAAGCACAGCACAGCCCAAGCACGAGCAAAGCAAAAGCACACACCTCCAGAGAGTAAGTATGGTTGTCTGGCTGAGCAGGGTCCATAAATTCACCTACAAGCGTTCTGCAGTCGTCCGGCACTGACCATAAACTCAACATTTTAGGGTTAAGCGGGTTTGTTTTCGGGTCTGCAGAGGGTTTGTCGAACTTGGCCTTAAACTTATTCCCCCTTGTCACGAAACGGGATCCGACCCCAAATCCCCACCACCGCAGGCCAAAAGTTCAAACAGGAACTCGGAATACTCTAATGGCGAATAAACTGTGTTTAAGCTGGTGCATCGGATATAAAACTAGAATTTGAGAACTTTGTAAAAAAAAAATGGAGATTACAACTTTGTTATTTATAGGAATAGCAAAAAATCAAAATATGATTTAAAATGTTTCTTTCTCTCAGTTTTATTTTAATGTTTTGGGTAATAGGACCCGCCAGCTTTGATACTCTCTTCTACAGCTCAATATAAATTGAATTTCATATTCAACTAGTTGCCACGTTGTCATCGCCCCCACCTCTGTTCCCCCTGCTGATGTATCGTTTGGGGTTTATATTTGGGGGCTTATATATGGTTTCAAATGATATTCTCACTGTCTCTGTTGGCCAGGAGTTTAGTTGGGCTTTGTCCCGTTGATTGGAACTAAACAGTGGTAATTTATGGACGACTAAATCATGTTACCCCCAACTGAATAGATTCGTAGCCATTGTGCGTTAATCTTGTGGGATTATGGGCTTAGACTCTGGACCAGGCAATGTCCAATGGACTTCCATTGTCTCCAGGTGAGTCAGGAACTAATGACTATCCCAATGACATTTTGGATTGAATCGCATTAAATTGCTACATAAATGTATGCTGTCCTGTGGTTGAATCCCCTTGCACACAAATATAGAGAAATTTCCGGAGCGAAATAATTGCCAGATTTTCATCACCTTTTCAAGCTTGAAATGCAATCAAATATGCAAGCTGGGTGTCCATTTTACTTATGTAAATATACATTTACTTTCAGTTTATATACTTTCTACTCCCTTTTAATAGTTTATTTTTCTTGGAGTTTCATTTAGGTTTTTGTTTTTAGAGTATTTCAAGTGTAAATAAAATGAATAAAATCTTTTACAAAAAAGAAACAGATTTACTCTCGATTTATTTTTCTTTATGCACTGCATTCTGTTTAAAGCTCTAAATGAATGTGAAAAATGTGTGTTGAGGCAAACAAGTCAGTTACTTAGTCACACTTGCACTGGCTTAAAGTCTTTGGGGGTTTGGGCAGAGTTCAGGGCGATATCCATCATTTCCCTCAATTTTCCGACTCCGATGAACTCAAAAGACTCCTTCCCCCCCACCCAACGCTAATAGCCCGCAATCTCCTGGCAATATATTTTTTGGTTATTTTCCAGGCCAGCTCTTGTGCTCTGTGTCAATATTATACCACGGCCATTAAGGCTGCCTCCATATGCACATATGCGATGTGTAACCCCACGTATATAGACACGCGTTCGGTGGAGCATAACCAATATCAATCATACAGTAAATTTATATTGCATTTACGTATTTTCCTTTTCACGTTTGTCAATCCAAAGCCGAAACAGGGGGGAATCGGCGGCAATCCTGGCCAATACCCACCGAATCCCCGACCAACCTGTTGATGATTCAAGCCTTTCGAGAGGTGGCACAGCCACAATCCATCCCTGGGGCTCGGTCGTTTGGGCCAATCTCTTTCTCGTGGCACCATAAAAAATACCATGTGTACCTTGAGTCAAATTTACTTTGAGTGCACAGCAGTTTGGCAGCAGTCCTTCCAGCAGATTGCCTCCCCAGTTGGGTCTTATCCATCCATCCATCCATCCCCTCTTTTCGGGCATGTCAAACATAATAAATCATATTTATTTAAAATACATTTTGTTTAGCCAGCTTGGCTTTTGTCCTCTGCTGCCCTGAGCCATTCTTTTGGGAGTGGCAATAATAATTGAATTAGGTGCGCTCCAAAGGACCCAAAGCGGTTCACCCCATGCTTTTTTGTTGCCCCTCATCCGATTACTACTAATGCTTAAAACTTGTTTGTCCTCCACTGTTGCGCGGTTATCGCCGCTAATCCGGGGAATCCCACTACGACTGCGAATGGCTGCCTGGCTGGCAAACTTGACACTTGACTTTGTGGGATCCGCAACTTTTTCGCTTTACTCGCAGTTCTCAAACCGAATACTTTAGTCGCACGAATGGACTCACTATGAAGGAAAAGCTGGCAAGAGAACAATTTTTTGTGGGAAGCTAAAAACTTCCCTACAATGTTGCAAAACGTACTGTGAAATTGTTTTCTTACAACACGAAGTCCAGTTGGTTAAAAATGTTTTTCTAACATCATAGTTAGATTTAAGCCGAATATAACTTTGGGATCGTAAAATCTCTTATGATGTGTAAGGATTGTATAATATATGTGCTTTTATATTTCACTAAATTGTGTATTTTTATAAACCTGTAATCCAAAGTACTAAAGTAAATCAATTTATCCTTTAAGCAAGTAAACAAAATTGGTTATAAAACCGGTGGTTTATGATATATGACTTATATTGCTTATACCATATTTTCAGTTTCAGAACTCTGGTTTACAGTGTATCTCATCAATGTTTCATCTTCGCCATCGTTATTCTTTTTATCTGATTTGTGCCCTCGCTGGCATAATAAAAATGTCAAACTCCGTATGCTGTCGCTTGTAATACATTTTATTCATAAAATGCTCCTTTTTTATGATTTCAGTTGGCCTTTGCCTAGCTTATTCCCGCTTTATACCTATCTCTTTCATTTACCAGCTATCTTTCTCTTTCTCCGGCTGTTTGTGTGTGTGTGGAACATTTGTTGAGACTGATGATGATGATATCCCAAATGCGAGGGGAGGGGCGGGGCTTCACAAAGTGCTCCACTTAAGTATGCTATGTAAATCACCTGTGCGAGTGCCGCCTCATCGCCCCTTGCCTCACCTTTCCCCTCGGGTGACAGCCCCTCCCTTCAGTTAGCTATGCCACCGTGTCAGTGGCGTCATTTTCTTTATGTCTTGCAGTTTACTTGGCCCAAAGCGTCGCCGGCGAGAAACCTTTGCCAGGGATTCTATTTAAACGGCATTATCTTCAGTTGCCGCCTGGCCTTATCTCACCTTCCACCCAGCTTTTCTACTCCTTGGAGATGCCTCAACATTTTCGTTCGCATTTAAATTGCTCTTTTTTATTTGCGCCTTCTGTCCCCATTTTGTTAGTGGGTGTGTGTTTTGGGTGGGGTTTTCCCTCTTAATTTATTCATAAGCCCTGGTTGGGGGGTGTTCTACTTCTTGAGTGGGCCAACATCATTACTATTACTCATGCACGGCACACACTCACATGCCAACAGCAGCACAAACACACACTCAAACTCACACTCACACACTGTTTCACGTGCGTGTGCCATCGTAACTCAAAGTTGTCCTGTCCGTGTTTG